CAGTGCATTTTTAAACTTTTTTAACACAAATATATAATTTTTAAAATTTTTTAGGCTTCCCTTTTTCCTTTTAAAGGGTTATATTTATTTTCCCAAGGGGACCAATTTTTCGAAAAAAATTTGATAGGGAAAAACATTTTAAAAAGAAAAAAGTCAACCCTTTTATGATAATTAAAATTTTGAGTCAAATCAATTTTTTCAAAATTGGCTAATTTTTATAAAAACAGGAAAATTTTTAAAAACAAAGAAAAAACTTTGCTTATCAAAAGGATTCCCAATGAAATTGTTTTTTTTGTTGTTTTTTTGGATGTTTTGTGGGGAAAAAATTTCTTTTTAAAAAAATAGTAAATTAGTAAAGGCTGACTATTAAAATTTTTTTGTCACTTTAGGGAATTTCAGTTGTTTTTTCAATTTCAAATTTTTTGCCAGGTACTAAACTTACCTATGTTGAACCACTTTTGTATTTTGAGCCTCTGTCATATTTTTAACTTTCAGAGTTTCCTTAACAATACATTACATGACAATTGGATTCTTCATAGAGTTTTTACTCAGTAAACAGTTTGACAACTAGTCCTTAACTACCCTCAGGGGCAGGTTTTTTTTTAAAACATTGTATATAGAATTATATGAATATCAAGAAAATATTAGTGTTAACCTTTTACCCCATGAGTATATTGTGAAAAACGGCTGTTTTTATTGAAAAGCCTCCTGTTACAAGTTCAAACTGCTATGAAACTATGAAAAATGCTTCAATACTGATGAAACTTGACACAAATGTTGACTGGACCACAGCCTCTTTAACAGCATGCTCAAACGTAAATTTCCTGTTACCATGGCAATGTGGGTATGTCTCAAAAATCACTATTTTGTATTGTTTTTTTCCATCAAAACTGAATTCAAAGTACTGCAACTTTTCAATGAATTGAGATAGATTAAAAGGCTGTTCAGCGTCAATTACTATTTACCCTAAGATCGACCTGAGGCCATTTTTAGCCTGTCACACGTCCAAAATTTTCTTGGCGATGAGGGGGACTACCGCCCCTCTTCAAACCCACCAATCAGAAGGGGGCACATCCCCCTTCTGGCAACCCCCTGATATAACATTTGGATTGGGAGCGGCCCGAAAAAGTGGTCAATTTTTGTAACAACATTTCTCAAACGAAAAACAGTGTTTGGGGCCTAAATAGGGCATTTTTTCACTGTTTGAGGCCTCAAAAAGGGGAGGGGGGCAACAAGCCGTCAAAACACGTCTATATGAGGTAAAAGGTTAATGCCAGAGATAAGATAAAGTCATATCCTGTTTCTGTAATAAAATCATGAACAAAAATCATATACCATTGGCTTTAATTTTATGTCATTAGTCTGAATTTAGGTACTTTGATACAATTTGGCCGATATTTTCAGCTTTCTGTTGAAGTCATAATTGATGATGCATTACTAAAAGGCAGTAGACTGAACATTGTTTGTAACGAGATAGTAAGAGATAAAGAAGTTGACAAAAATTTTCTTGGAGCAAATTGTTTACATTGTTTTTGACTTTGTACAATTTTTTATTGGGTTTAATTGAATTTGTTGCTTCTTACTGATTTTTGAAATGTTCATATATTTTTTTTGTTTTTATGTTTTTATTTGTTTTTTTTTGTGTTGTTTTTTTTTTGGTCGTTGTTGATTAATGTTATGTTAATGCCTCTTATAAATTGCCTGCACAACATTTACCAGTAAAGATGTTTCCATGTACCAAAGTAAGTAAAAGAAATCAATGTTATCTAATATCATAATTATGTATTAAAATTTTAAAATTAAAAGGTCCAAAAGTCCATGCATAGCAAAAATATAAAAAAGGTATGTAGAAACACTACAGGAAAAATGATACTTTTTACTGTATTATTTTTTGTATGTATGCAATATAAAAAAATAAATAAGGAGGGATGTCGGTGATATGTTTTTGGACTGAAATAACAGTTCAGTTCAATTTGTGTGAAGGTTAATTGTGTCTAGTAAGCTTATTGTTAGCTTATTGCTGTTATGAAAATTAAATAGGATTCAGTTTTCTTTTGTAAATTGTCTATACTTAGCCAAACTGCCCATTTGTACCTGAAATAATTAAAAGAAGTTCAGGTCTTCATCTGCATGTACTTGCTCTATGACCTTGGTAATGATAGATATATATTGCTTTTAAATAGCAACACTAAATTGGGAAGTGGCTTTAGTCTCTTTGATTTTGGGAAAAGTGATAGCAAAAATTGTTAAGGGAGTAAAAAAACTGGTGTAAGTTCCGATTTGTTGAGGAAAACTGCATGATTTTAAAGAAATTTTTTTATTGGGAAGTGGCCTTTAGTAGGCCTCTATTATATAAGATAAAATAACTGAATAACAACAAAATTCCATAGGTTGCCTTCTTCGATCTTCCCCCACCTATAAATATGAATATCATCGTGTCGAAGTGACTTTAAAAAATATATATATATACATATAATAAAAGATTCTTTTTTTAATATGTTTATTTATATTTCAGGAACGACCTCAGCTTGAGGCTCAGAGATCAGAATTATTAGAGAGTATCACCAATGATTTACAATTCCTCCGTGATCTTGAGGATAAGTCATTGGGACTTCTACAGAAAATCTGAAGGTAAAACATTATAATATTCTAGATTAACTGTTTTTGATTTTTTGATGAAGTACATGTAATACTTATGACTTGACTTGTCACTTTTATTTTGTGGTTTCTGAAACCACTTTAAATATTTATTACATGTAGTTAATTTGTTATGTTAATATCAGCTCATAGAAGCTTACGGTCTCTACTCACTTGAAATAGATTTAGTTTTTTAGGACAGATATAAAATTATGTGGTACTTGCAAACTTGTATTGTTATTTTGTTTGATATGATTTAAAGAACAAAACATTTACTGTTCTCATGTCTTTTTGTTATTCCTTTACCTGCTGAAACTGAAAGTGATCAGCATTTGTCACCAGTATGATAGGGCCAGGTCAGCAGTCACATTAGTGCATTACCTGATACCTGCCAAGAGTTATCTGTCTTAAAGTAGAAAGAATACAAAAATGTCACCAAACTGTCATGCCCTGGCTGATTATATAGTTCTATAATAATGTCTTAAAGGTTAAGAGATAAAGGTTTACTATTTCTGATAGTATGGCATCATCACATTATCACGTCACATTATCACGTCATTTTATCACACATCATATTGTCATGGCAACAGTTGTTACTGTCAGCACAAACACTTGTTTATCATGAGAACTGACACAGCCATGAAGTCAAGTCTTTGAGATGTTCTTGAAACAGGACATGATTGCCTCTGTTGTAATGGAGAACAAATTTAAATACAAGATCTGTGGTTAATGGATATCTGTTATTTCTAGAACAAATAAGATATTTGTTTAAGTTACAAAAACAATTTATGATTGACAATATCTCATATCGGTTTCAATACTAGGAAGAATATGTGGTAAAATGTGTTCTGAAAAAAAATGAACTGAATAATAAAGTCAAAATGTATAACAATCTTTTTAACCTTTAGCCTGTTAGCACTGTGACAACTTAACTTACCAATGTGACCAATGACCATGATCAGCTGGCACATTCATACTGTCTGGTCATGGTCTGTACTGTCAGTAAATATTTAGAATTTTTTCCCTAAGAACAATAAATGGTATTGTCCAGACTGAAAGATGGACAAGTCCATTTAAGATATTAAGTGTGGTAAGGGTCAAAGACATCAGCCTCATATTACCTGCATAGTCACATGTTAGACTACAAAGATGATAGGGTTATTTATAAAGATTGATAAGTTACAAAAACATTTTGTATTCATTTTTTTATATGCCCAAAAGGGCATATTATGTTATACCCCCTGGCGTGGGTCCGTCTGTCAGTCCGTCCGTCCGTCTGTTAGCAATTTGGTTCCCGGAGCATAACTTAAGTTCCATTTGGCCAACAATGTTCAAACTTCATAGGATGATTGTCCATATTGGGTAGAAGACCTCTATTGATTTTGGGGTCAAAAGGTCAAAGGTCAAGGTCACTATTACCTTAAAACTGAAAACAGTTTCCGGAGCATAACTTAAGTTCCATTTAACCAACAATGTTCAAACTTCATAGGATGATTGTCCATATTGGGTAGAAGACCCCTATTGATTTTGGGGTCAAAAGGTCAAGGTCACTATTACCTTGATACTGAAAACAGTTTCCGGAGCATAACTTAAGCTCCATTTGACCCACAATGTTCAAACTTCATAGGATGATTGTCCATATTTGGTAGAAGACCCCTCTTGATTTTGGGGTCAAAAGGCCAAGGGTCAAGGTCACTATATCCTTATCACTGAAAACAGTTTCCGGAGCATAACTTAAGTTCCATTTGGCCCACAATATTCAAACTTCATAGGATGATTGTCCATATTGGGCAAAAGACCCCTATTGATTTTGGGGTCACTAGGTCAAAGGTCAAGGTCACAATTACCTTAAAACCAAAAACAGTTTCCGGAGCATTACGTAAGTTCCATTTGGCCCACTATATTCAAACTTCATAGGATGATTGTCCATATTGGGTAGAAGACCCCTATTGATTTTGGGGTCACAAGGTCAAATGTCAAAGTCACTTTTACCTTAATATTGAAAACAGTTTCTAGAGCGTAATTAAAGTTCCAATTGGCCCACAATATTCAAACTTCATACGATGATTGTCCATATAAGGTAGAAGACCCCTATTGATTTTGGGATCACAAGGTCAAAGGTTAAGGTCATTATTAATAACTTAAGTATTAATCAACCTACAGCTGTAAAATTTTATAGGATGAGCAGCTAATTCCCATGTCTTACAAATGCTTCATCCTTACTAAAAAAAAAAACACTTTCGGGCATATAATGCTCCGCCTAGCGGTGCTCTTGTTTTTTTGTTATACAAGATAAATATACTTTCAATTTATTACCTTGATCGCTAGTAGTGACAGACTTTACTCATATACTACCATTTATTATGATCAGCCAGTTTGCATACTTGTTCCATTGACCATTCAATGTCAGCATTTTGATAATGAAATCCCTTTAATCAGCAATGGACTGTTCCAAAATTTAAAGCAGGGAAAAGTACAATACACATGTTCAGTAGGGTAAGAGTTAAGCTATGACATACTGTCATACAAGATTAGATATCGGTATTATACTGATAAAGTTTGAATATTTTCAAATATCAGCGGGTTTTTTTATTTCATATAATGTTCAAATGACTTATATTTATAAAAAGGTCATGGTAGTATATGTAGGTCATAATTATTATAAAATATAGGTCATGATGTCATAGTTTAAATGAAAATACCAAGATTTACATAAATGTATATTCAACTTCATTACAATTCATTTTAAACTGTTATGTGATTTTAGTCCATGTTTATTTATGAGTGAAGACTGTATAAATTAGTTTTTACATAAGTATATGATATATGGACATAATATTCAATTTACCAGCAATACTTCCTTTTTGAATTAATTAATCAATTAATTGCATGATTTCTCATTGTTTTCTATTTACATTTAAATGAACCTATATGATTTACTGTATGGGGAATTGTTATGATAACAATATAAACATTATTTGTAATTCTGTCATGTGATTGTACTTTATATTCATCTCAAATTTCTGCCAATATTTTATTAACTATTCAAACATAGATTTTGTATAAATTATTTCTTTATTAATAAATGATTGAGATGCTTCTATTTTTAAACTGCATAATTTATCTACTTCCTTTAATATGACAACTTATTTCATGGGATATTTACAAAAGTTTTCAGTTTGACTTAGAATTTTTATGCCCCCACAATGTGGGAGCATATAGCGTTGCACTTGTCCATCCGTCCGTCCGTCCCAAAATCTTGTGAACGCAACTCCTCTTAAACCGGATGGCAGATTTTGCTTAAACTTACAGGGATGAACAACCTTAATGTGTAGATGGTAGTAAAGGAAGGAATTTTTGCTGCGACCAAATTTAACAGAATTATGGCCCTTTGTTGATTTTTTCACTATATACTATGTAGAAATTTTGTGAATGCAACTCCTCTTAAACCGGATGGCAGATTTTGCTTAAACTTCCAGAGATGAACAACCTTAATGTGTAGATGGTAGTAAAGGAAGGAATTTTTGCTGCGACCAAATTTAATAGAATTATGGCCCTTTGTTGATTTTTTCACTATATACTATGTAGAAATTTTGTGAACGCAACTCCTCTTAAACCGGATGGCAGATTTTGCTTAAACTTACAGGGATGAACAACCTTAATGTGTAGATGGTAGTAAAGGAAGGAATTTTTGCTGCGACCAAATTTAACAGAATAATGGCCCTTTGTTGATTTTTTCACTATATACTATGTAGAAATTTTGTGAACGCAACTCCTCTTAAACCGGATGGCAGATTTTGATTAAACTTACAGGGATGAACAACCTTAAGGTGTAGATGGTAGTTAAGGAAGGAATTTTCGCTGCGACCAAATTTTACACAATTATGGCCCTTTGTTGATTTTTTCACTATATACTATGTAGAAATTTTGTGAATGCAACTCCTCTTAAACCGGATGGCAGATTTTGCTTAAACTTCCAGGGATGAACAACCTTGACGTGTAGATGGCAGTAAAGGAAGGAATTTTTGCAGCAACCAAATTTAACAGAATTATGGCCCTTTGTTGATTTTTTCATTATATACTATGTAGAAATTTTGTGAACGCAACTCCTCTTAAACCGGATGGCAGATTTTACTTAAACTTCCAGGGATTAACAACCTTACTGTGTAGATGGTAGTAAAGGAAGGAATTTTTGCTGCGACCAAATTTAACAGAATAATGGCCCTTTGTTGATTTTTAGTTTTCAACTTGTGGCACATGTAGTCCAAAAAATATTTGACCTAGAGTCATGAGATTGACAGAACAGTGGTGTGTGGGGGCATCCGTGTCCTATGGACAAATTTCTAGTTTAAATTAATTTTTGAATACATAGCCAAATTACTTTTTAAATACATTTGAATACATAACCAAATTATTTTTTTTAATACATAACCAAAATATTTTTTTAAATTCATAAATAAATTACTTTTTTAATTAATTACCAAATTACTTTTTGAATACATAACTAAATTATGTTTTGAAAACATTACCAAATTACTTTTTGAATACATTACCAAATTACTTTTTGAATATATACCGAAATTACTTTTTAATACATAACCAAATATTTTTTAAATTCATAAACAAATTACTTTTTTGAATAAAAATAACCAAATTACTTTTTGAATACATAACTAAATTATTATTTTTGAATACATTACCAAATTACTTTTTGAATACATTACCAAATTACTTTTTGAATACATAACTAAATTACTTTTTGAATACATAACTAAATTATTTTTGAATACATTACCAAATTACTTTTTGAATACATTACCAAATTACTTTTTGAATACATAACTAAATTACTTTTTGAATTCATAACCTTTGATCTGATTCTTGAAAATCTAGGACAGATATTACATTATGTATTTACATGTAACATATCAGATTAATTATTATCTCAACTATATTTAGAGGTCATATTTTTGATGACCTAGATTTGTATGTAAATTGAGGGGTCATAACTTTTGAAGACCTATATTTATATATGATTTTTATCATTGAGTCAAAATGTAAATGTTCCAGATGTGTATGTACCATATAACATATATCATATTCTTAATTATGTCAATCATCATATATATTTATAAGTCACTTTTTTTGATAATCTAGGTTCATATATAATTACAATGTATGCACTTTTACAGGTCATATCTTAGATGACCAAGATTTGGTAGAGACTTTACAAAAGAGTAAAGGCATGGCAGGAGAAATTTATGAAAGAGTTAAACAATCTGAGGAAATGGAGAAAAAACTTAACCTAGCCAGAAAAAGATATCTGCCGGTATTATTTTATAAGAATAATCATAAAGTTTGTATGTTCGCAGGTTCAAGTTTTAATGTATGATGGTTTTGTATCTTGTATAACATGTATGACTTGTAGAAACAGCATAGTAATTTTGAAAAATATCAAAACCTTCTTCCTTTGCTGAATTAAAGATACCAGCTATTACAAGAAAATAATGGCATTGATGTTTTTACAATGTCTTGTTCTTAAAAGTTGTACTTTGATAAGCATCATTGTAGCTTCCATCTAAGAGGGAAAAGCTTTCCTCATAAGCAAAATAATATAGTATTTGTAAAAGCCCAGTTTGATTAAGAATTTCCTGTCTGCTTGTTTAATTATTAACTCATAAAGTTTGAAATATGGAAATGAAAACTGTATTAAGTTATGCTGTTTTGAATGTACATTTATATATTCATTACACAAATACCTTGTAAAATATTGTTATTTAGGTTGCCACGAGAGGTTCAACATTATATTTTGTACTAGCTGACCTATCTGGTATAGATGTGATGTACCAGTTCTCGTTGGACTGGTTCCAGGACATGTTTACTGCAGCCATCAGTGGTAACATGTCAATCAAAGATCAACAGAGGAGAAGGTCCTCTGTTACCGTGCCATTGGTTGGAACACCACGTAGAACCAGTATACAGCATCCTGCGAGAAAATCTTCTATCGAGTCAGCTGATGTCCCTGTCAGGAGACCTAGTGTTGACAGAAGGTCAGTATAGTTGTAATACAATACTGTCTTAATAGGGCAGACATTGTGGTCTGGTGGTAATATTGTGTGACAACAAAGCCAGGTATCAATATCAGTATAACTCCCTTACTATACAAAATATGTTTGTGAATATGCATAATATGTTCTTGAATATCCATAATATCTGCTTGAATTTGATAAATAGGTCCTTGTATATGCACATGTCCTTGACTTTGATGAAAATGCATAATATGTTCTTGAATTTGATAAATGTTTACTTGAGTATGCATAAGATGTCCTTGAATTTGATATATGACCTTGAACATGCATAATATGTCCTTGAATTTGATAAAATTGATATGACCTTGAATATGCATAAGATGTCACTGATTATGAAACATATGACCCAGAAATATCTTCTATATTCCCAAATATGTATAATGTATAAAAA